CCCCAGAACCACAAACACAAAAAAACACCAAAACTAAAACCCGAGTTCGGTTTTTCCCAACCCTCCTGCGTTGGGTTCTCGTTTTGAATAGAGCACTGCTCGCGCGTCTCCTTCCCCCCCCGTCCCGTCCCTCTCTTCCCCCCTGCCTTTCGCCTCGCTCGTCGCTGCGTGCCAGCTGGGGGGCTGCGATCTGTGAAACTGTCGCCACTTTCGAGGCCTGCTGGGGGGCCCAGCACAGTGGGTACTCACGGCAGACTCAAATGGGACCTCGCCATCCCTGGGGGGCTGCGATCTGTGAAACTGTCGCCACTTTCGAGGCCTGCTGGGGGGGCCCAGCACAGTGACGCCACGGGCGGACCCAAATTAGACCTCGCCATCCCTGGGGGGCTGCGATCTGTGAAACTGTCGCCACTTTCGAGGCCTGCTGGGGGGCCCAGCACAGTGAGGGCCACGGGCAGATTCAAATTAGACCTCGCCATCCCTGGGGGGCTGCGATCTGTGAAACTGTCGCCATGTTCGAGGCCTGCTGGGGGGCCCAGCACAGTGGGTACCCACGGCGGACTCACATGGGACCTCGCCATCCCTGGGGGGCTGCGGTCTGTGAAATTGTCGCCACTTTCGAGGCCTGCTTGCGGGGCCCAGCACAGTGGGTACCCACGGCGGGGCCAAATGGGACCTCGCCATCCTTGGGGGGCTGCGATCTGTGAAATTGTCGCCACTTTCGAGGCCTGCTGGGGGGCCCAGCACAGTGGGTACCCACGGCGGGCTCAAATGGGACCTCGCCATCCCTGGGGGGCTGCGATCTGTGAAACTGTCGCCACTTTCGAGGGCTGCTGGGGGGCCCAGCACAGTGGGTACCCATGGCGGATTCAAATGGGACCTCGCCATCCCTGGGGAGCTGCGATCTGTGAAACTGTCGCCACTTTCGAGGGCTGCTGGGGGGCCCAGCACAGTGGGTACCCACGGCGGACTCCAATGGGACCTCGCCATCCTTGGGGGGCTGCGATCTGTGAAACTGTCGCCACTTTCGAGGCCTGCTGGGGGGCCCAGCACAGTGGGTACCCACGGCGGACTCAAATGGGACCTCGCCATCCCTGGGGAGCTGCGATCTGTGAAACTGTCGCCACTTTCGAGGCCTGCTGGGGGGCCCAGCACAGTGGGTACCCACGGCGGACTCAACTGGGACCTCGCCATCCCTGGGGGGCTGCGATCTGTGAAACTGTCGCCACTTCGAGGCCTGCTGGGGGGCCTGCATAGAGGGTAACCGCGGATTCAAATTAGACCTCGCCATCCCTGGGGGGCTGCGATCTGTGAAACTGTCGCCACTTTCGAGGCCTGCTGGGGGGCCCAGCACAGTGGGTACCCACCGCAGATTCAAATTAGACCTCGCCATCCCTGGGGGGCTGCGATCTGTGAAACTGTCGCCACTTTCGAGGCCTGCTGGGGGGCCCAGCACAGTGGGTACCCACCGCGGATTCAAATTAGACCTCGCCATCCCTGGGGGGCTGCGATCTGTGAAACTGTCGCCACTTTCGAGGCCTGCTGGCGGGGCCCAGCACAGTGGGTACCCACACGCAGATTAAATTAGACCTCGCCATCCCTGGGGGGCTGCGATCTGTGAAACTGTCGCCACTTTCGAGGCCTGCTGGGGGGCCCAGCACAGTGACGCCACACGCAGATTCAAATTAGACCTCGCCATCCCTGGGGGGCCCTTGGGGCTGTGGCTGCGATCAGCTCGCCATCCCTGGGGGGCTGCGATCTGTGAAACTGTCGCCACTTTCGAGGCCTGCTTGCGGGGCCCAGCACAGTGACGCCTCCCAAGTAGCTTACACATCAAGTTGATTGTCCATACAAGTTTCGGCCAACTCCTCGTTTCTATTGATACAAATGGGTTGGGTACGTCACAGGGTAATTTGGCTCGGGGGGGCTCCCCTCCCCGAAGAAGCCTTCGAAAAAAACACCCGGGAGAAACCCAATGAATTATCCAGGCGAAGGACACAACCATATGAAGTTGTGGGTACCGCGATTGTGAATATCTTCTTCGCTGGAGCTCCCTATGGGGCCACGAAGCGCTGCACTGAGTGGGGGCCGCATGCGGGTGGTAGCACTGGGGCCGTCGGTGGAGCTCCCTATGGGGCCACGAAACGCTGTACTGGGTGGGGGGACCGCATGCGGGCGGTAGCACTGGGGCCGTCGGTGGAGCTCCATATGGGGTCACGAAACGGTGTACTGGGGGGGGACGCATGTGGGCGGCAGCACTGGGGCCGTCGGTGGAGCTCCTAATGGGGCCACGGAGCGCTGTACTGTGTGGGGGGGGGGACGCATGCGGGCGTTAGCACACGGCCGTCGGTGGAGCTCCCTTTGGGGCCACGGAACGCCTGTACTGCGTGGGGGACATGCGGGCGGTAGCACTGGGGCCGTCGGTGGAGCTCCCTACAGGGCCACGAAGCGCTGTACTAGGTGGGTAGGGTGCATGTGGGCGGCAGCACCTGGGCCGTCTGTGGAGCTCCCCGTGGGGCCACGAAGCGCTGCACTGGGTGGGAGGACGCATGCGGGCGGTAACATTGGGACCTCCGGTGGAGCTCCCTATGGGGCCACGAAACGCTGTACTGGGTGGGGGGACCGCATGCGGGCAGTAGCACTGGGGCCGTCGGTGGAGCTCCATATTGGGCCACGAAGCGCTGTACTGGGTGGGGGGGACGCATGCGGGTGGTAGCACTGGGGCCATCGGTGGAGCCTCCTAGGGGGCCACGAAGCGCTGTACTCGATGGGGGGGACGCATGTGGGCGCTAACACTGGGACTTCCGGTGGAGTCCCTATGGGGCCGCGAAACGCTGTACTGGGTGGGGGGGACGCGTGCGGGCGGTAGCACTGGGGCCGTCGGTGGAGCTCCCGATGGGTCGGAGGTCGATAGACCTCCTCCCCTGACACGTCGATTAGCGAATTGTCCGTTCTCGGTTCGCGAGAGGGCTTCGCGGCCGTCATTTTTGCGGGTCCAGGTCATTCGGTTTCGATCCTAGTCCGTTTTCACTAAGTGGAGGTTTACTAAAAGGAGGTTTGTCCACCGCCGAATGGGGCCACGAAGCGCTGTATTGGGTGGGGGGGACGCATGCGGGCGGTAGCACTTGGGCCGTCGGTGGAGCTCACTATAGGGTCCCGAAACGCTGTACTGTGTGGGTGAAACGCAGGGAGGAGGGGGAGGGAGGAGGGAGGAGGGAGGAGGAACGCAGGGACCGTCTCTTCAAAACGAGGACCCAACACCACAGGATGGTTGGGAAGATTAGCCTGGCGAAGGACCCAACCATATGCAGTTGTTCGTACGGCAATTGTGAAACATATCTTCTTCGGTGGCGCTCCCTATGCGGCCACGGAACGTGTGAGGGGTGTGGCGAAATGAGAGTGGGGGACGCATGTGGACGGTAACACTGGGGCCTTCGGTGGAGCCCCCCATATGGGGCCACGAAACGTTTGAGAGGTGTGCCGAAATGGGTGTGGGGGACAATGTGGACGATGGCGCTGGGGCCTTCGGTGGAGCTCCCGATGGGGCCACGAAACATGTGAGAGGTGTGCCAAAATGGGTGTGGTGAACGCAAGTGGACGGTGGCACTAGGGCCTTCTTTGGAGCTCCCTATGGGGCCACAAAATGTGTGAGGGGTATGCCAAAATGGGTGAGGGGACGCATGTGGACTGTGGCACTGGGGCCTTCGGTGGAGCTCCCCTATAGGGCTACGAAACGTGTGAGGGGTGTGCCGAAATTGGTGTGGGGGGCGCATGTGGACGGTGGCACTGGATCCTTCGGTGGAGCTCCCCTATGGGTGACGAAACGTGTGAGGGGTGTGCCGAAATGGGTGCGGGGGACGCATGTGGACGGTGGCACGGAGGCCTTTGGTGGAACTCCCTATAGAGCCTCAGAACGTGTGATGGGTGTGCCGAAATGGGTGTGAGGGACGCATGTGGACTGTTGCACTGGGGCCTTCGGTGGAGCTCCCTTATAGGACCACGAAACGTATGAGTGGTGTGCCGAAATGGGTGTGGGGGGCGCATGTGGACGGTGGCGGTGGGGCCTTCGGTGGAGTTCCCTATGGTGCCACAAAATGTGTGAAAGGTGTGCCGAAATGGGTGTGGGGACGCATGTGGACTGTGGCACTGGGGCCTTCGGTGGAGTTCCCCATGGGGCTACGAAACGTTTGAGGGGTGTGCCGAAATTGGTGTGGGGGACGCATGTGGACTGTGGCACTGGGGCCTTCGGTGGAGCTCCCCAATGGGGCCACGAAACGTGTGAGGGGTGTGCCGAAATGGGTGCGGGGGACGCATGTGGACGGTGGCACTGGATCCTTCGGTGGAGCTCCCCTATGGGGCCACGAAACGTGTGAGGGGTGTGCCGAAATTGGTGTGGGGGACGCATGTGGACGGTAGCACTGGGGCCTTCGGTGGAGCTCCGTACGGGGCCACGAAACGCTGTACCGAGTGGGTGAAACGCAGGGAGGAGGGATCAGGGGGAGGAGGAGAAAGGAAGGAGGAGGAGAACGCGGGGACCGTCTCTTCAAAACGAGGACCCAACACCACAGGATGGTTGGGAAAGACCCAAATTGTTTTTTCGAGGGGGTTCCCCTCCAGGAAAAATCGTAGATAAACAGCAGAAAAAATGCAGAAAAACCACCGAGTTGGTGGGTTCCTGCGGGGGTCAGCCCGAATTGCGATTTGAAAGGGTTTGCCCGATCGCTCGCGGGACCCCCCCGAAAAACCCGAATGGATTTGTGTTATTTGGTTTGTGTCGGGGGGTGTTCGGGTTTTTTCCCGAGGTTGTTGGGGGCTGTTTTGTTTTTTTCTCGGAAATCGTATTGTTTGTAAGTGCCGGGGCCCGGAACCGCCCCAAAAACCAGCCAAGCTCCCCTCCCCCCAGGATCCGGGGGGGGAAATCCTTCGGAGAAAACCCTAATTCGAGTTTTTGTTCGGGGGGGTCCCGGGGGGGTCCAGGGAATTCCCACACCGGTCTCCAGGACTTGGATCAGCAGCTGATCCTGGAGTCCTTCCGCACCCTCATCGACGGGGACAGCGCCATGGCGGTTCGAATCGGCCAACAGCTGGACTATATGGCCGACGCCGTTCAGGCGCGGCTTGACGCGGCCCTGGCTGATCTGCGCTCCGCACCCTGGGAGCTCTTCAAGAGCGTGACTGCCTGGGACAGCACCAACGCCTGGCAGGAACCTGGTGGCCCGCTCCTGCGGTATACACTCGTAGCCTACTGCTATGACTTTCTCTACCCTTGGCTCCAGCAGGGCACGCGAGATAAGCTCCGCAGGCTGATGGCCACCGCCACGCAGAATATGTGGTTTACCGGCATGGACGCCGTGGAGGCATACTTCGCCCTTACAAGTAATTGGTTGCCTTGGGTCGGTGGAGATATGATCGTCACGATGCTCGCTATCGAGGGGGAAGACGGATTCGACAAAGGCGTGTACGCCCGAGCTGCCAAGGCAGTCAAAGGGTGGAGCTTGCTCGGGGTCTCCGCGGTTTCGGGCGCAACCTACGAGGGCGGCGGCAAGAACACAATCATGGGGCCAAAGCTTATGGCATTGGCCAGACACGGCTATCCTCAGTTCCTCGCAATGCCTGGCATCCGTAAGCACGGCTCCAAGTATTTGCTCCACACCATGCTGCCCAACGGCCTCTGGCTCGAGGACGAGAAGTGGGGCAGCGTCGAGGCCGTCCCGCTGCCAGGCGACGTTGCCGTCCTGAAGATGTGCTACCCGACGGACGTGGCTTTGGACTGGATATACCGTACGGCGTCGAGGGCCAGCAGTTACGGGGGCATGGCCCAGGATTTCGGAGGTGGAGATGGCGCCATGCCCTACCGCTCGTTCACGCAGGAGCGGTCGTCGGTGTACACATACAACAACTATGTGACCGACGTGATCTACGCGGTCGACTGGGAAGGTCCTCTGAATCGGACGGAGCACGCTCTGGCAGCTACATATGGCCAGCCTCTAACGTACGTGGCCACCGACACGGGCTTGCTCGTCACACGCTCGGCATGGGTAGGCGAAGACGCGGCATGGCTGGCGTTCCTCGTGCGCTCGTTGCCTGGAGGCCACAGCACTGCGGCTCGTGGCGAGTTCATATTCCACGCCATCGGAGAGACTTGGGCTTTCTATAACACAGGTACGAACAGCCAATCAGAGATGCACAGCGTGATCTTGGTTGATGGGTTGGGTCAATCCTCTAATGCTCCTGGGAAGTTTGTACAGTTCCAGGATTCGGCCGAGGCTACATTCGGGAGCATGGACGCGCGACTGGCCTATGGTTGCCAGCATTTCGGCGGCGATCCAAGCCGCGAGGTCATGAACTCCTTCATGGTTGAGCCGCTGCCCTACAAGTGGGGGGACCTCCGTTATGACCAGTTGCCATCGTGGTTTGCTGGCAACGGACCTTGGCCCCCCCAGTGGAGCGGAAATATCGCCAATCTGTTTACGAAGGCTTACCGCACCGTCGGCATGGTACGTTCCCAAACGCCTTATGCGATCGTGTTCGACGATATCCAGAAGGACATCGGTGAGCATGTATTCGCCTGGAGAATGCCGCTGAGGGACCGCTTTTACAGCTACCAGCCCAGCCTGGGCGAGCACGTTCTTAACGTAGTGGACCACAGCTACTTCGGAGCCGACGGCAGCGGCAGCGATTTCATCCTGAGGGACACATCGGGTGGGCCAGGCCGCTTGTTGGTCCGGCTGCTAGAGGGCAGCAGCCCACACATGTCGGCGGGTATAATTTCTTCCCCTTGCAGTGCGCTACAGGTGGAGACGAGGGCTGTGTCGGCACGCTTCAGAGTGCTATTGTGGCCCCTCGAGAACGCGAGTTCACCTTTGCCAGTTACGAGTTGGGTTGAGGCAATCTCCACGCTGAAGATCAATGATGATGAGATCGTCTTGTCAGTGACCGACGATGGCGCAACCATGGTCGAGGCTTTGAAGGTTGACGGCGCCAGCGTTGCCCTCACGACCAACGAGATTGCCCAGACCAGCCCGCCCGACGATGCCAGCGGCGTTCAGGGCCGCGCAGATCGTGCATATCTAGCCGTACGCGCTTGCTTGCTGTATGGAGCGCTCATGTAAGTGGACGCCTCGCGTGGAGAAGGGCTCAGGTACGTCTCGGGTAATTGTACCCGGTATTGTGGCCGTCCGGCCCAAGATCTGGAGGGAAAAAGCACACAGAGACAATTAACTCTCGAGCCCCAGGAAGATATGGGGAAATATGGGAAGCGGGGGGGAAGACGAAAATCCAGAATAGATTGGAAAATATGGGGGATCCTGTTGTTTGTATCTGTTCATTTGTGTGTCCCAGGGCCCCTTCACAAGAGTAGGCCCAGCATGGAGGCGAGAACACGCTTCCTGAAAAAGTCGTGAAGAGTTCTTGGGCGAAACGGCTGCTGGACCGGGCGTCCTCGGGTTCCCCGTCCCGCTTGTGGGATTCTCTTGCAGTTTGATCCATTCTTAGAACCCTCTAGCGAAACGCTAGTAGGGAAAAAGGTACCGATGCCGTTGCCGTTCCCTCGTGGTCGCCTTGTTGGGCCTCCCGGGAGGCCCTAGTCGCCACGGCTGGACTCGCTTCGAAATTCTGGTCAGAACGCCTCCCCCCCATGTAGAGGGCCCAGGAGTAGCGGCATGGTTGACACGAGAGTTCAGAACAAGTGGTACGCGTGCCCTGGCTCTTGCTCCAAGGACCTGGGGGAGGGCATGGAGGCCGGGGGGAGGCCTGGGGCCAGGACCCAAGGGGGAGGTCAGGGAGGCTGGGGGGGTGGAGGACGAACGACGAACGAACGACGACGACGAAAATAAAGAGGTCCGATCTCTAGAACACAGCTATGCAAGAGAATAAACTCAGCGTTCGAGGGACTCCTGTGTTATGTTCGTGCCTGGGCTCTCCACCGTGCAACGCTCTTCACTCTGGACCTCTCCGTGGGGCCTTCGGCCTTCGGCGAAGGGACCCGTGCTCCTGAACCACGTGCTTGAGGCCATCTTTCGGTTGTTGTCCTCCTCCTCCTCCTCCTCCTCCTCCTCCTCCTCCTCCTCCTCCTCCTCCTTCCTCCTCCTCCTCCTCCTCTCTCCTCCTCCCCTCCTCCTCCTCCTCCTCCTCCTCCTCCTCCTCCTCCTCCTCCTCCTCCTCTCCTCCTCCCTCCTCTTCCTCCTCCTCCTCCTCCTCCTCCTCCTCTCCTCCTCCTCCTTCCTCCTCCTCCTCCTCCTCCTCCTCCTCCTCCTCCTCCTCCTCCTCCTCTCCTCCTCCTCCCCCTCTCCTCCTCCTCCTCCTCTCCTCCTCCTCCTCCTCCTCCTCCTGCTGCTCCTTCTCCTCCTCCTCCTCCTCCTCCTCCTCCTCCTCCTGCTGCTGCTGCTGCTGATGCTCCTCCTCCTCTTACTCCCTCCTCCTCCTCCTCCTCCTCCTTCCTCCTCCTCCTCCTCCTCCTCCTCCTCCTCCTCCTCTTCCTCCTCCCACCTCCTCCTCCTCCTCCTCCTCTCCTCTTACTCCTCCTCCTCCTCCTCCTCCTCCGCCTCCCTCCTCCTCCTCCTCCTCCTCCTCCTCCTTCTCCTCCTCCTCCTTTTTCTTCTCCTCCTCCTCCTCCTCCTCCTCCTCCTCCTCCTCCTCCTCCTCCTCCCTTTTCGTATTCCCCCACCTCTGGGCCTTCTTGGGCCCAGCGGGACTTGAGCAGCCCATCTCGCCAGCGGACGTCTACGGGCTCGTGCTCAGCGTCCCTCGGCGTGCTCGGCATCGTGGCCGCCGCAGTCTCAACAGATTCGGAAGCTGGCTTCAAGTAGCTCAGGAGGCGAGTTTCCAGAGGCTCAGGTTTTCGGGAAGTCTGGGAAGCGAGTTTCTAGAAATTCTGGATGCGGGTGCGTGCTTCTGGAACCTCACTGGCTTCTACAAACTCAGTGCGCGAGGTGATGGAAGCCAGCGTGTGTCTCAGAACTCGGGCACCCGAGCTTTCAAGAAGCCAGGCTGCGCGTTGTGTCGGGGATCCCGCGTGCTTCCAACAACTAGGGCCTAGGGGGACGAGTTCCTACAACATCAGGAAGCGGGTGATTAGAAACTCTGGTGTTCCTCGAAACGTTAGGCGAGTCTCTAGAAGCCCACTCGCTTCTAGAATCTCAGGCGCCAGAGTGTCTAGAAACTCCAGGGTTGGGCGAGCTTCTAGAAGCTCAGGAGGCGTGCTTCTGGTTTAGAATCCCGTGTGAGTCGAGAACCGGGTGTCTAGAACCCCACAGTGCAGAAAGACAAATATCGGGTTGGGAGGATGGGGTTGGGGAGAATGGGTCAGATCATGCGTAGCATCGCGTAGGTCGAAGGCACTCATGAGACTGGCATGTGCACGGGCACTGGCCGTTTCATCCTCCAACCCGCCTGCAGCTTGAATTGCCAGTCGATTGGGCTGGTACTTTTGTTTGAACGTGGGCTGGTTCTTCGATTCCATATCGCTGGAAACGACGTTCCGACTCATCGCATTCACGCGTCTCTCCTTCATCGTCAGCTCTTCCTCCGGAAGAACCCTGCTCCGCGCGTCACTGGCTGGGCCTGTATAGTTTGGAATTACATCTGGGGTCCGATCGGCAGCGATGCTGCTCGCTGGTGCCAACGGCTCATGCAGAAGTCATGACAAAACTCATGCAGAACGGAAGCAGACCAACGCAGTAGTGATTCCGCATCGCGAACCAGACGCAATACGGAACGCACTATTACTTCCATATCAGGAATGGAACGCAGCACGGAACCTGCTGCGATCCCGCGACCTCTCAAAATTGCACTAGCACGAGGAAAAATTCATTTGTGAATTCCGTATCAGGAACGGATCGCAATCGGAACCCGATGCGGAATTCACGATTCACTGGGCAATTGCCAGAACCCCAGCATTGTTCATGCCCTTGGTCACCCCCAGTTTTCGCCGCGTCGCTTCAACACCTGAGATGGTCCAAGATGGCTCTGAGAGGGCCCAGAACACACACACACACACACACAAGAGGGCTCCTGGACGGCCCCACCGAAGGCCTCGACAGGGCTTCAAGAGGGCCCCGAGAGGGCCACGAAGTAGGCTGCAGGGTGGAGCCTGAGTCTTTGGAAGTTCCCAGGGGTCCAAGATGGCCCCGAGAGGGCCACGAGGTAGGCTGCAGCATGCAACCCGCTTCTTAGGAAGCTTGCGCGGTGTCGGATGCGCGGCCCATGCGCTGCGGCGACCACGCGTGCTCCTCTCGCTGGACGCAGGCGGCCGAAGGTATCGTTCATTGCATCCAGATGCTTTTGCTCACGCCCTGCATTGTCCCAACCCTTTTCCTCCCAACACGACACCTGCCTCTCTCGACGGTACTCTGGAAGCTCGAGCGCCCGAGCTCCTGGAAAGGCACGCGGGCGGCTCCCGGCAACCCTGCGGATGCCCAGGGCATCGAGCCTCGAGCGCCCGAGCTTCGAGAAGCTGGCGGTGTGTCCCCGGCGACGTGCTGCTTAGCAGCAGGAGGCGGCCTTCTGGGATGCGTCGTAATAGGGCTTAGTGGGCCCTGGCAACGACAGGGCCGTTTTTGTTACCGGTTCCGTTCTGCCGTTTTTTTGCCGGTGCCGACGCCGTTTGTTTGCCGGTTCCGTCGCCGTTTTTTGTCCGGTTCCGGCTCCGGTTCCAATCCCGGAGCCGTTTTCTTGCCGTTTCTGGTCGCCGTTTTTTTTTTGCCGTTTCCATTTTCAAGGGACATTTTTTTGGAAACGGTAAAAAACGGCCCTGCCGTTTCCAGGGCCCACAAAGTCGTAGGGTATCTATAGCACGAGGAAGAGGTTGTAGAAACGCTGCGAGCTTCTGGAAGCCTGCGGGTTTCGCTGACCTCGTGCGCCAGAGTTTCTAGAAGCGTATGGGCTCCTAGCAACTCGGGAGCCTTTTTTTGTTCACAGCTACATGTAAGATCAGGAGTCGAGTGAATTCTTGCGTTTCTCAGGTCCCCTGCGCCCAGTGTTGAGAGCTTCACGAGGCGACTCTCTGGAAACCTGTGTAAACAAGATGGAACGAGTTCGTAGAAATTCTGGAAGCGACCATTATACAATCTAGAAGCTCGGGAGGCGAGTTGGTGTAAGTTGCGCGTGTGTGTGTGTGTGTGTGTGTTCTTTCACTCTCTATATGTTTGTATAGATCGTTCTCTCGTTCTCTCTTAGTCTAGATTCCTCTCTCTGCCTCTTTCTCTCGCTATTTCTCTGCATATGTGTGTATCCATGTTTTGTCATGGTATTTCTTTATCGCTCTTTTTTTCTCGCTCTCTGTCTCGCTGACGCTCTCTCTCGCTCTCTCTCTCTCTCTCTTTCTCTCTCTCCTCCCTCTTTGATGCATCTGTTTGCCACTGTTCATTCGTAGTGCCCTCTCTCCCTCAGACTTCAACGCCTAAAGTACAAAGGTACAAATATATGTGTATATATACATATATGTACCCCCAACTGTATTACCTCAGATTCGACATCAGCCCACATTTCGGAGATCGCAAATTACCAATTCGCCGGCCCAACGGGCCAGAGGCGTGCTAAGATCTCCGGTAACTTGTTAACAATATTTCTAGTTCGCGCGCGCGCGGAGCGGCCCCTGGGGGCCCCCGGACGAAAAGTACCCCAGCAAGGTCCCGAGAGAAGCCCGGGAGAAGCCCCCAGAGCACTCCAGGAGAGGACCATTTTTCGACACCCCTCACGAGGATCGTGGCCTCCGAGGGGGGAGCCGCAATCGACTACCCCCAAGAGCCCCCCAAGAGGCCCTGGGGGCCTCCAAAACGCCGCCAAGGAGCCCCAAGAGACTCCCAAGAGGTCCCCAAGAGGCCCCCAAGAGGCCCTAAAGAGGGCTCCAGGGCCGGCGGCATGAGCGAAGCGATTAAATAAGTGTTCCCCTGCGCCCGAGTGTAGACCCCAAGGGCATGCAAGACTCCGCGAGAGTGCGGGTCATTTGGGGAACTCGTTTGTTTGCTCCAGATGGCTCCAAAGTCGCGCTGGATGAGCCCCAGGCGCCACAAGAGGCCATGCTCACCGTATGGTTGAATGACAGGCTCCGCGTTTGGAAGGCCTCGCACACGCGTGGCCCTTGCATTTGGAATCCGACCTTCCAAGACACATGTCATACCGACCTGATCATACGGAGGCTCATCCCTTTACGGATCACGGGTTTACATAACATCATTGCAGGTCTTCTGGTGTTCGTCGTGGCCAGCCTTGGCTTCCTTACTTCCTCTCTTCTGCTTCACCGTCATACAGTTTGAATTAGAAAGGCGCCCCCCCTCTCCCTCCTCCCCCTCATCCTCCTCATCCTCCACCCGCTCCTCCTCATCCTTCTCTGTCCCTTCCCGTCCTCTCCCTTCTCCCCCTCCTCCCCCTCCTTCTCCTCATCCTTCTCCTCCTTCTCCTCCTCCTCCTCCTCCTCCGCCCCATATTCTTACCCCGATCCCCCCATCACCGCCCCCCATCGTGACCCCCCATCGTGGCCCCCATCGTAATTGTGTAAAGCTGTTTAGTGCATTCTGCCGCCGCAAGGGTGTCATTCATGAGATTCCTACTGAAACCGCGTAAACCTCTCTCAGTCTCACGCTAGCCCACTAAAGCTCCCTGCAGCTTTAACAGACTCTTACTACGGCGCCCTACCGCTCGAATATCCTGCCACAGCTGCCTACAGTTCTTAGTGAACCCTACTGCAGCTGCCTGCACTTCAGACAGAATCCTGTTCGAGCTGCCTGCAGCTCTGATGGAAACCAGCCAAAGCTACCTACAGATCTAACAGGAATCTACAGGGGCCCCGTAGAAGTTGAAGAAAAACTGACAGGATCTGCCTGCAGCTCTAGTAGAATCCTACTGAGGCTGCGCGGAGCTCTCGTTTGAGGGAGTTGGTGTGGAGCTCACGTCATCCTGACCTCTGGCGCGCGGGAGGCCCCACCGCGTCCCCAGAGACCACTTCTGGGGATCGCACTGGGCGCGTCCCCAGAGACCACTTCTGGGATCGCTCGAGAAATCCTCGCAGAGTCGACCCCCCGCGCGAGAGACAGTCTGGGCCCACCGCGTCTCCAGGGACCAGTTCCCAGGATCACACCAAAAGGCCCAGCCGGGCTCCCGCTCGAGACAGCCTCGCAAAGTCGCCAACCGGCGCGCGAGGCAGTCAGGCCCTACCGCGCCCCCAGGAACCATTTCCGCGGATCGCACCGGGCGTGTCCCAGCACGGGGCAGTCGCTCGAGACATTCTCGCAAAATCGACCCCCCGCGCGTCAGACACTCCGGCCCCACAGCGCCCCCAGGGACCATTTCCGTGGGTCTGCCGGGGCGCTTTGGGGCGCACCAGGCGCACCATGGTGTAGTCCATGTGGCACGAGCTACGTGGACGATTCCTCGCCTGCGCCACTCTCGCCCGATCCTTACATTGCTGATCTCTATTCTCCTCATCCTCGCTCTCCTGACCCTCAATTTCCACGTCCTCCCCTTCCTACTCCACTCTCGCCTGATCCTCACCCGCGTGACCCTCACTCTCCTGATCTCGAGCCTCGCATTCCTGATCCTCACCCTCCTCATCCTCGCCCGCCGCACCAACGCCTCCCGCACATTCTCCCCTCCCACAAACGCACGCCCCTTCTTCTATATACAGAAGCTCCCGATCAATCGCAGAGCGGCCAGCTAGTACAATCCTACAACAGTTGCCTTCCCCCCTGAATGATGCCCATTACAGATGCTTACAGCTCACGCCAAAAGCTGACCAGGGCCCTTCAGAGTTCTCATATAATCTTGATGGAGCCACCCTGCAGCTAGAATGCTGCTGGAGCACTCCCTGCTTGAGCCCCCCTCAGAGCCCTGATATCATCCCACCAAAGCAGCTTACACATCTAATGTCATCCTCCTCCCCCTCCACGTCCTTCTCATCCTCTCCTCCGCCCTGCCCCCCCGCTCCTTGCGCCGCTCCTCGGCGGAGGTCAAGCGAAGGCCGACGCTGCCGTGCCTTGGGGTCCGCCTTGCGTCCGTAGCCGTTATGGCTCGAGCGAGTCCGTCGTCGTTGGGAGCAGTCTACAGGTCATGGATGTCATGCTGACCCGACATGCGGTCGAGGGAGCAGGCGATCTTGGGCAGTGGCACGAGACTTGCGTCGCGTGTTGTGCTGCTGGCCTTGCTCTTGCTGCTGTCGGCCCTGCTGCTCCTGCTGCAGTCCACTGGGCCCCCCGCTGTCTTTCACAGCAGCGGGCGCGGGCACCTTGCTATGGAGTGGACCTGGGGATCCGAAGACCCCGCGGCCAGCACCACGCCTCGCGGCTGCAGCCGCAGGCTGACCGCTCAGACCTCGGGAAGCGTCGTGGGTCACTGGCGCTTCGACGACGCCGCTGGCACCCGGCACTGGCGCGACGATTCGCCGTTCGGCAACGCTCTCGTCAGTCACCGGTATTCCGGCTTCCAGTATCCATTCGCGGAGGTCTCGGGCCGGACGAAGGGGGGAGATAGGGAAAGGGGGGGTTACGAAATTTGCTGAATGTAGCTGGTTTCGGCCCCACCGAGGGGCCCATTCCTCGATACATGGCCGCCTCCGGCGCCGGGAGGCGCCGGGAAAATCAGCTAGTGAGTTGATTCCTAAGCCCCCCCTTTGCTATCCCCCCCTTTATCCCGGCCCGAAGGTCATCCCGGATGCTGGGCTCGGCGCCAGCGGCGCAGTGCGCATCTTAAGCCGCAGCCATGCCAGGGCGGAGTCGGTGCCAGTCTTCAGGACCATCTCGTTCTGGGCGAAGCCAGACCCAGGCACCTTCATCAGAGTCGACAGGTTGGTGGGCGCAATGGTCAGCGGCGAGTATTTCTTCATCATGTGGGTCGATCTCCACAGCTCGACAGTCCGCGCCAGGTTCACTGTCGGCGGGACTTCGGTAGAGCTTGGGGCAAGTCTCGACCTCAGCCATCACGGGACTGACTGGGATCACCTTGCAGTCACCATGTCCGCGAGCGAAGCCAGTCTCTTCATCAACGGAGTAAGCAGCGGGGAGCCGACTCAGCACAACTTGCCAGAGCCAGGCTTCGACTCTGTGGCGTTTCTGCTCGGCACTGGGCATCCGCACAACGCTTTCTTCGGGGTCGTGGACGAGCTTCGCCTCTACAGTGCAGCCTTGGGTGATTCTGAGGTGATGGCACTGGCTGCTGCGAAGAGTACCAACGGTACTCCAGAGGGGGAGAACCTGCCCCCCCGTGTGGACGCGGGGCCTGCGCTGACCTTGTGGAAGCCCGCAGTCTCCGGCTGGCTTGAAGGCAGCTGCGTTGACCAGGACGGCGCCGTGGCCCGCGCGGAGTGGCAGGTGGTGCGGGGCCCC